TCCCACATGCTCACGTACACACTTGTGACCATGCCCAAACCGGCATGGTCATCGCCACAGGTGAGGCTGGTTTGATTTCTCACTAGAGGTGTGGCATGCTTTGCGACTCTAACACTGACATCCTTCTTCTAGCAGTAAGAGTAAATTCACTTCATCCAAATATTGAGTCTATGTCTTTGATCTTTCCCAGTGGATTCAAATGCTACAACACATGTATCATGTCACATCTGTGTGCACATGTGTGCATGTGCAGCACACAATAAAATGTAACTTAAAAATGAACATGAAGTCCAGTGGCTGATGGAAGCAGAGGCAGACACCCACAGCTAAACACTGAACTGAACTCCTGGAACCCAGTGACAGAGAGGGAGGAGTGATGAGCAAAGGGGTCAAGAGCTGGCTGGTCAGAAACAGTTGACCTGAACAAGGGAGAGCTCTTTAGACCCCAGACTGATGACTGAGAGGCCAGCATAGAACTGATCCAGACCCCCTGAACGTGAGTGTCAGTGAGGAGGCCTCAGCAATCTATGGGGCCTCGGATAGTAGATCAGTATTTATCCCTGGTGTACAAATGGATTTTGGGAGCCCATTCCACGTGGAGGGATGCTCTCTCAGCCTAGACACATGGGGGAGGGCCTAGGCTCTGCCCCAGATGATATGACAGACTTTGGAGATCCTGTGGAGGGCCTCACCCTCCCTGAGGAGCTATGGAGGGATGGAGGGGTGGGAGGTTCGTGGAGGGAGGGTAGGAAGGGTGGGAGAGGGAGCTGCAATTGACATGTGAAGCAAGCTTGTTTCTAAATTAAATTTAAAAAAGAAATATCTTTCCAATTCTCACTGAAAAAAAATGAACATGAAGTGTTTGAAAATTTGTGGATAATTTGGAAAATGAGAACACAAACTCCTTTTGCACGCAGGAGTGTCCACTCTCCACAGCCCTTTGAGAATATTGGAGTGAAAACAAGCACCCCTAAAATCCATCATTCCAGTCCAGAATATGCAGCCCAGAGTACCATCAACATGCTATGTCCCACATGATCAATCTGGCTGCATTTGTTTTTATCAAAAGGGTTATATTCTAGCACAGATATTTCCCACCTGTTCATCTTGTCCTTGTTTCAGAGATGACTGTTCTTTGAGACAGACTCCTGCAGTACAGCCTGGCCTTAAACTCAGTATGTAGCCAGGGATGACCACTCCACAGATCATAAAGCAAAATCTGGCTAAGCTACTGTGGAAGGGGTTCCTGCGGGGGTAGTGATGCTGTAGCCTGAGGACTCCAGTGTGAAAGAGGAGATGACTCAGTGGGTAAAGGGCTCTCTGCACAAGCATGAGGATGTGAGTTCTAGTCCCAGAGCCCAGGTAAATTCTGGATGTGTGTGGCATCCCACCTGTAATCCTGACACCTAAGAAGTAGAGACAAGGACTCTCCGAAGCAAGCTGGATAGCTAGACTAACCCAATCAGAGACCTGTAAGTTCAAGTGAGAGACCCACCTACAGAATATAAGATGGAGAGTGATCAAGGAAGATACCAGACATCAATCAACTCTAGCCTCTGTGCTCTCTCTCTCTCTCTCTCTCTCTCTCTCTCTCTCTCTCTCTCTCTCTCTCTACACACACACACACACACACACACACACACACACATACACACACGAAAACACACACATACCCTCACAAGAACTCAGATGTGTTCAGTCATGGTGTATCTGAGAAAACTTAAACACAAAAGAGAAGAGCCCAGCCACTTCAGTTTCTTCCATTGCTAGCACCGGAAGTCACCAGCTGAAGCGGGTAGAGATTTCCATGCCGTCTTTATTGGACCTATAGAGATTGGGTACATCAGAAGCAAAAAAGACATCTCATGGCATGGAAGGATGGATAAGACAGATAAAGCGGCACATAACCACATGATGTCCTAAAATTAGTCCCCTAAAACTATCATGAAGCTGACACCCGCACCAAGGATCACCTGGGTACCCCAAACTGTTAAGAGCTCCCACCTCTTACAACAATATTTCTAGGAACCCACGGGGAAAGATCAGTTACTCAGTGACTCTCAGAGGGCAGAAACCACAATTGTGGTCCCAGCACCCAGCGCAGTGTTCACAAATACATCTGGTAAAGGCTCTGGACATTGATAGGAGTTTTCTCTTCCCACAACTCTTGCTTGGCCCACGAGGAGCACAAAAGGAGACTGCTAAAAATATGAATCTGATGAATGAGTGCTTTCTATTCAGTTCCTAGAGCCATTATTAAAAAGAAAACGGGAAAGGGAAGCCATGGTGGAGGGAAGTCATTTGAAAATGAAAGGGTATGTCTCCTAAGCACTTCAGTGAATCAAGAAATATGAGTCATGCCGGGCGGTGGTAGTGCACGCCTTTAATCCCAGCACTCGGGAGGCAGAGGCAGGCGGATCTCTGTGAGTTCGAGGCAGGGCTGGACCGATAGCCTCCGAAACAATACAGAGAAACCCTGTCTCGTAAAAACCAAAAGAAAAAAGAAAAAGAAATATGAGTCATTTCTACACAGCAAGAAAAACGAAGTTAACATTTGGATGCTGAGTGAGGAAAAACCGTGCCAGGTGGTGTATGGTTAGAGTATCTGAAACAGGCAGGCAGCTCTGAGCTCATAAGCTTTATACACAATGACTGATGTTTGGTTCTCAGGTCATCTAAAGGAAGCGTGATAGTCTATACTTTGTAGGTGAGCAACTAGAATCTTCCAAGGCATTTCCAAGAGGAAAGTGGGAAAGAGACGGAGGTCTGAGTGGTAAGCTTATTAGAAAGAGAAACCAAATAACCACTCACGTGAAAACTCTTGGAGCCCCTCCCATGTGGAACTCTTCTGATTTTCAGATTTTATAGATCTAAGAGATCTCTATAGCTAGGACTTTCCCTAGCCTACTCCACCTCTTCCAGAGACAGGCATTGGCCAACTTGGACCACAACTTCCAGGAAGGCTTTCCAGTCACTCTTGGAAAATGAACGCCCTGAGGAATGATACACTGTTATCAACAGTTGCTAGAAAGAATGACTCATCAGGCTCTGTAGATTGATAGCCAGTAATTCATTGCTAGGAGAAGAGGGGAGAGCTTCACAAGTCCCCGCCCCCGCCCCCGAGGATAGATAAGCAGTCAGTGGTTGTTAGAGGGAGAGGCTCATGAGGCCCCACTCACCCTTGAGGATTTATAGGCAGTGAGTGTTCCTAGGGGGAGGAGCTCGCGTGGCCCCACCCCTTTGAGGATTGATAGGAAGTCAATGGTTGTCAGGGGGAGGGGCTCCCGTGGCCCTGCCCATCCCTGAGGATTAATAGACAGTTAACGGTTGGAGGGCTTCTTCAGTTGTGTACTCGCTGGCAAATTGTTTCTGTAAACAAATCCTCACCAGTGTTCCTCTAAGCAACCTCAGTTAAACTCATTGGGTTGCCAAAAACAAGAGACCAGAAAGTAGGAGGAGGACTAGGTGGGAAGAGGAAGGGATCAGCAGGGATGGGTGGGACAAGAGGATGAAGAAGAATATGATCAAAATACATTATATACATGAAGGGAAATGTCGCAACAGAACTCACTATTATGTTTAAATATATGCTGGCAATAAAGCTTTTAAAGAAAGAAAAAAAAACAGCCCCAGCCCCCAAGTAGGGTCGAAAGCACTGGGGCCTCACTCACATCCAGAGGGGTAGTAGCTAGTCCTGACCCAAATAAATCAGGGTGTTTGAGAACTAGCACAGCTTCCACACATAATGTAAGGATGCTCCTGACACCAAGGATGCTCCTGACACCTGATGACCGTTCAAAGCTCAGCCACGGAACCAGAAGAGAAGGTTCTCCTGCCTCCACTAGTTCTCCCCACTATTGTAGTTAGGACCATACAACCCAGAAACTAACAAAAATCCCTTCTTGAATGATAAACTGAAGAGGGTGTGGCCTCTGGCATTCAGAAGAGAACCTTATACTGAGTGGTCAGTTGGGAGGGTATCTTGGAGTCAGCAATAAACTGGGAGAAAGGGAGGACAGTAAAGACACACAGGCACAGGCACAGGCACAGGCACAGGCACACACACACACACACACACACACACACACACACAAATATACATGCAAACACAAAGTCATACGCAAATGCACAGAGACACACAAAAATTGCTAACCTGTTCTAGTGGTCTAGGACCCTGATCCAAGACACAGAGAAGTCATCTCAACAGGATACATCTCATCCCTATCCAGGCAGTAAGCAAAGCCCCAAGATGACCTCTAAGAGTTCAGGATTCAGACTCCCTGAGACATTATTTTCTCTGGTGGTGCACCTCACACTTACTTCTTTTTAAGCTGGACACAGAAGACCAAAGATCATGAGTGACTCAGGAAGGAGACAATGAATCGTAGATAAGTTGAAGAACAAATGAGTAGGAATTAGTGATTGGATGCACAAAATAGTGAAAAGGATAGATAGATCAGTAGATGATGAAAACTTGGGAAATAAAAGGAATGAAGATGTGGATGTGTGGATGGGTTGATGGGTGGATTAAAAATTGAAGGATGGGTGGGCAGATAGATGAATAGGATGAATGATAAGTAAACAGATTGACAGGTGGGTGAGAAGATGCATAGATGGATAGAATGATGGATGTGAAGATGTATAAAAAAGAATTAATGAATGGATCAGTGTGTAGATGGATGAACTGATGGAAGATGAATAAATGGATCGCCAAAAGGATAAGAAGATGGATGGGTTGATGAAAGATGGGATGAAAGGATGAAGGATGAATGGATGAGCAGATAGAAGATGATAGACAAATGATCAATAGATAGATATGAATGTATAGATAGAAATATACATAGAAAAATAGATAATAGGTAATAGGTAGAAGGATGGATGGATGGATTGATGGATAGATAGATAGATAGATAGATAGATAGATAGATAGATAGATAGATAGATAGAAAGACAGACCCTTAGAGATTCTGTTGTTGTTATAAAAACACCACAGCCATAAATACTTTTTTCTCTAAAATCTTTATTATCAGCATATATTTAAACATATGAATGAACAAAAGATAGATTACAGAGATAGATAGATGATAGACTGACTGACTTAGGAATTCTTTTGCTATGATAAAACATCATAGCCATAAATAAGTTGAGTAAAAAGGGTTGGTTTCAACTTACATCTCTTAGGTCATGCTCCATTGCTAAGGGAAGTCAAGGAAGGAACTCCAACAAGGCAGGAACCTAGAAGTGGGAGCTAATGCAGAGGCCATGGAGGAGTGCTGCCAGCTAACTTTCTGGCTCCTCATGGTTTGATCAGCCTGCTTTTTTACAACACACAGGACCACCTATCCAAGGTAGCATAGCCCACGTGAGCTGGGGTCTCCCACCTCAATCATTAAGAAAATGCCACAGGTTTACCCACAGGCCAATCTGGCGAAAATACTTTCTTAGTTGAGCTTCCCTCTTCTAAAATGACTCTGGCTTATTTCAAGTTGACATAAAAACTAGCCAGCACAGACAGACAGACAGACAGGCAGGCAGGCAGGCAGGCAGGCAGATGAGGGGGAAGATAAATAGATTGTTAAGATGGATGAAAAGATGAAGGTTGTGAAGGATGAGAGATTTGATGAATGGGTGCGTGGATGGATGCATGCATGCATGGATGGATGGATGCATGCATGCATGGATGGATGCATGGGTGGGTGGATGCATGGATGAATGCATGGGAGGATGCATGGATAACGAAGTATCAATAAATAGATAAGTAAATGAATAAGAAGAAGAGCAGACAGGTGGAAGGGTGGATAGAAAGACAGGTGGGGGGATGGAAAATAGATAACAAATAAAAGATGAGTAAGCAGATGAACAGATGGTAGGGAAGATGAGTTGACTGACGTAAATGTGAAGAACAAAAGGGTAGGCGGATGGCAACAACCATTGGATGGACTGAAGGGTGAGTGAAGAGATGAAACAACAGAGTTAAGATTTTAGAGCAAAGTAAAAATTATGACATAATTCAATTTGGGATCTCATCCCCTCTTCACCTAGAGCCCTGGCCTTGGCTCCAAGAGGTAGATGACCCCCTCCCCAGCAAGGGGAACTTCCTGCAGGCCCTGTCCAGTCCTAGTAACTACTCAAAGTCAAGCCACTCATCCTTTATAGAAACCCATGTGCAATTTTAACCACTCCCTTGTAGGTCTGGGCCTGGCCAGAGGCATCTCTCAGCGGCTTCCCTGGCCAACCTCTCAACATCAACATAAGCTGCTTGAGGCTTGGGATTTGATGCGCAGTTTGTGAGGCAGGGAAGTCTGAGCCAGACCTTCAGACCTGTCACCTGGGACAGAGCAGGTCACACCAGGCAAAAAACCCATGGAACTCTCAGAGGATGTCAGTGATATATCTGAGGGCCCTGGGACATGGGATCCAGTGGGCACAGGTGACCACAGCCCACAACAAGACTTGAGCTCTGTTCTGGGTCCCACATGCCCATCTAAGAAGTGACAACCAAAGATAGCAGCTGGGAAGGTGGCATGAAAGGCTCTGTCAACTATCCCAGGTGTCAGGGGCTCTGACTCCCGCAAGAACCTGGGAGAAGCAGCTAAGCCAGCCCACCCTTGAGCCACCAGGCAGCCTGAGCAACCTGGAAACCCAGAATCCACCGCATATGGTTTGAACAGGCAGCCATGGGCACCAGGCAAAGGTAAGAATGTGTCAGCCCCTGAATGGGAGTCCTCAGTCCAGGAAGACTTCCATAGCAAGGCCTGCAAAGGCAACGTCCGGGGACCACACACAGTAGGCAAAAGGCCGAACCGAAGTCTGAGTGCTTGCAGTTCAGCCCTTAGTATAGCGTTCTCCTCCAGCAGCATGGTCAACCTGCCTTCAATGGCCACATCATTGAGGCGTCGCTTTTCCCGGGACCGCTTGGCCGCCTCGTTGTTCTTTCTCCGTTTCTCCCAGTAAATTGTGTCCTTCTTCTCTTCCGGCATGAACTCCCTCTGTCGGCGCATGGTTGGACCCCTGCGAGTGCCCCAGAGTGCTTTGCTGGGACCCTGAGATATGCTGGGCAGGCCCAAGGTATCCACATTCATAGCTGCCTCAGCACCTGGAGAAGATAAAAGAGGGCTTGGATCAGAGACAGGAGGCTGAGCCAAATGGTTCTCATCCCTCTAATGGGCTCTGTGTCTACCATCTCCACTAGAGCATTGGATGCAACAGAGATTGGTCTGGGGACAGATCTATAGAGGGATTCAATGTTGAGAAAGGATGGGGGGGACCAGATCCACAGAGGGATTCAATGATGAGAAAGGATGGGGGGGACCAGATCCATAGAGGGATTCAATGATGAGAAAGGATGGGGGGGACCAGATCCATAGAGGGATTCAATGTTGAGAAAGGATGGGGGGACCAGATCCATAGAGGGATTCAATGTTGAGAAAGGATGGGGGGGCAAATGAGGCTGAGTCTGGATATGGCTTAAGAACACCCCAGTAGTCACAGAGATCTGTTTGAGAGCTGCCCCATGAGAGGACACAAGTTCTTTCCAAAATGTTTTCCTTACCCCTGAGAAGATCAGCCTATGCAAGAGCTGTGTAATAATCCCAGATCCAGAGGAGACGGGAGGAAGGACGTACCTAGAAAGAGAGACTATGTGAACATGGGGTTCTGTGCACAGGCCAAGCTGTGGCTCAGAAAATCAGCTGGTGGGGGCTGGAGAGCCGGCCATGTGGTTAATGAGCTTGTTGCCCAAGTCTGAGGACCTGAGTTTGAATCTCCAGAACCCACATGTACAGAGCACGGCAGCATGTGTGCACAATCCCCGGACTCCCACAGTGATACTGGAGGAAGCCGAAACAGAGAAACCCTGGGCCTCCCAGGCCTGCTAGCCTGGCAGATACAGGGGCAGGACAGCAAAATGTCTCAAACAAGATGAAAGATGAAGCCCAACATCCAAGCCTGGCTGCTTACCTCCAGAAGTGCATCATGACACACATGTGTGCTCTCTCTCTCTCTCTCTCTCTCTCTCTCTCTCTCTCTCTCTCTCTCTCTCTCACACACACACACACACACACACACACACACAATCATACAATACACTAAAAATAACAGTAATAATGAAATAATAAAAATAGTAATAAAAACAAAATAATAATAATAACAAATGAAAAGCAGCTGAGACTCACATGAATTATGCCCAGATTGTAACTTACAATTCATGACCAGAATTTCACATCTGCCTGTCCACCCAACTGTACATCAGGTCCTCCCACACAACTGTCCATCATCTACCCACTCATCACCCATCACCGCACCTTTCACTCATCCTCTCTCCAGCTCCCATCCACCTCACCATCCAATTTTACAGCCATCCATTGTGCCTGCCACATTTTACTTATTCACACACCCTATACATCTGCTGTAGTCTGAAGGCACCCTTAAAGTTTCAGGCGGGGAGAGAGAGAGAGAGAGAGAGAGAGAGAGAGAGAGAGAGAGAGAAAGGAGTGTGTGTGTGTGTGTGTGTGTGTGTGTGTGTGTGTGTGTGTGCGTGCACATGTGGGACATGGGTATATGTGGAAGGCTACAAGTCAACCCGGGATGCTGTTCCTCAATTGTCCATCTTGGCTTATTGGGTTTTTTATTCTTTTTTAAAAATATTCATTTTTGTTTAATTTTGTGTATGTATGTGTGTGTACATGTGTGTATGTGGATGAGTGCAACTGTTGGCTGGGTCTATAGCCATCTGATCTCTCTGGACCAGGAATGACAGGCAGCTGTGAGTCTCTGGATGTGGGTGCTGAGAACCAAAGTTGGGTCCTCTGTGAGAGCAATACATGATCTTAACTGATGAGTTGTCACTTTAAAGACTTAGTTCTATCATTTATTTACATGTGTGCATCACTAGACTATGGGTCTAGTGAATACATGTACTCACCTGTGCATGCACATGGACACTAAAGGGTACCATGTGTCCTCTTCCATCACGCACCAGCTATTCCTCTGAGACCAGACCTCTCCCTGAACTTGGGGCCAGTGTCTCTGATAGGCTGAAAGTCAACAAGCCCTGAACCTATTGGAAGGAAGGAGGTGAACCACCTCCTGACAATCGTCTTCTGACCTCCACATGTGCAATGTAGGCTGTGTACATCATGCACAAATAAACAGATGTAATTTTAAAAAGAAGGGAGGCAGGAAGACAAGAAAGGAATGAGAGAGAGAGAGAGAGAGAGAGAGAGAGAGAGAGAGAGAGAGAGAGAGAGAGAGAGTGCTTCTTGGGAGACTGAGGTGGGAAGATGTCTTCTTCAGCACTGGAGTTTGAATCCAGCTCAGGCATCATAGCCAAAACATCTCAAAAATACACTAGCTCCATCAGTGTTGTGTCTCACAGGATGACTGGAACTCTCAAGCTTGGGAGGAAGGCCTAGGTTTGCAGATGATGAATTTGAGGACAGTCTGAGTAGCCTCAAATAATACTAGTAGAAAAGAGAGAAGGGGATGAAAGAGGAAAGGGAGGCAGGGGAAGAGTGTGAAGGAGAAAGAGGGGAAAAAGATGTCGCAGGAGGGAAAAAGAGCAGGAAGGGAGAAGGAGGAAGACCAGGAGGGAAGGAAAATAAGATAGGAAGGGGAAGGGAGGGAGGGAGGGAGGGAGGGAGGGAGGGAGGGAGGGAGGGAGGGAGGCAGGGAGGGAGGGAGGGAGGCAGGGAGGGAGGGAGGCAGGGGGAGGAGAAGGAATGGAAGATGAAGGGAAAGGGAAGGAGGAGGGGGAAAGAAGAGAAGAAGGGAAGTAATAGGAAAAGAGGGTGGAAGGAAGGGGAGGGGAGGAAAAGGGAAGTTTCAAAGTATGAAGGGCAGCCAGAGCCAGCACATGCCCCTGGAAGAAGCTGAGCACAGAAAGTGGTCCGACAGAATGCCAGGCAGGCCAGGCTGATCTGAGCAAGGACTCCCGTGCAAGCCCATGAGGCAGGCTATCCACCTCACTGCGATGCTCCCTGCCTGAGTCTCTCCTGGCTAGGGCTTGGTCTGAGCCCCAGCCCACTGGTCTCTCCACCTCCACAGGAACTCAGATGCAGGCAGCAGATAGCTGGCTAGGTTCCTGTGCTTATTTGGAGAAGATGTAGTGTGGGTTAGGCCTTCCTGTGGTCATCATAGCAGAGGAGTTAACAGAAACGGGGGGGGGGGTGACGTCACTCCTAGTGAAGGGCCCTAGGCAGTTCAAGGAGACAGGAAAATAGTCTATCAGAGGCAGCACACAACTCACCTCTGGTCCCTGCAGCCTCCCTAGGAGACAAGCCAAGCTCCACTTGTTTTTCTGGAGTCCAGGAGCAGACTCTGTCGGGTCAAGCACATTCCCAACATACAGAATATTTCTTACGCTAAAGCCACCATCACTGGCAGGCTTGCATCTCAGTGACAGAATGCTCACCCAGCATGCAACATGAATGAAAAGCCCATAACTATAATCTCAACCCCCAGGAACCAGAGTCCGAGGTCAGCCTCAGCTACACAGCACGTGCAAGGACATCCTGACCTAAAGAAAGAATTGAGAGTTGAATCATGCTCACAAGGCCATAGGAAGAGGGAGGATAGAAAAGTGAAGGTTAATGGGTTAAGGGATGCAATGTGACTTTTCAATGAACTTCACAACAAAGGCATTAAATGACTCAAAAAGACAAAGGAAATGATAAGAGCCCTCCAATAAGAACGGAAGATTGTGAAACAAAAATAAGTAGATATGGAAAGAACCAGTGAGAGTTCTGATATTAAATGGATAGATATAGATGATTTATAGATAAAGGCAGGCCGGCAAGATGACTCAGAAGGCTAAAGCTCTCACCACCAAGTCTGATGACCTGAGTTCAATTCCCAAGACTCACATGGTAAAAGAGAGAACTGACTCCCACAAGTAACACGCGAGAGCGTGTGCATGCGCATGCACACACACACTGTGGTACACGTATATGTGCATAAATTCAAGTACACACACATTAAGTAAATGTGATTTTTTAGTATTCTAAATAGATTAGAATAATGTTCTACATGAAAGTAGGGTAATGATGAGGACAACTGAATTGGTAGTAAGTATGAGTAATTGACTGTTCTTGATGGTGTTTGGTTAATAAGAAAATGAGTATTTCAAAACAGTAGAAAGGATTTTCAATGTTCACAACACAAAGAAAGGAGGAATGTAGGGTCAGCTGTGACTCTGTGGGTAAGAGTGAAAACCTGAGTTCAGATTCCAGAGAAGCTAGGTGATAGCAATATATACACCTGGAACCCGAGCACAGGATGAAGACAAGAGGATGGCTGGGGCTTGTAGGCTGTTGACCTTGCTCTTGGTTCAGAAAGAGACTGTCTCAAAGAGGAAGAAGGTGGGGAAGCAAAGAGGAGGACACTCAGCAGCCTCTACACATGTGCCCGCCAGCACATCACATACATATGAGCAGGCATATGTGCCCACATCCACACACATGCACACCATACACAGGGGTGTGACAATAACCCTGAACAAAACACTACACAATGTGGCATATGACTCAGTGGGTAAAGGCACCTGCTGCCTAGCCTAATGACCTTAATCAATTAGTCAGTGGTAGAAAGAGAGAAGACCAACCCCCACAAGCTGTCCTCTGACATCCACACTAAATAGATATAATTTGTAAAAGTACACTGTACTCCCATAGCATGTGTAATTATTATGTATAAATTTAAATTTCCCTTTGTAAATATTTTATTATCATTTTGTTGTTTTATGTGCACAGGTGTTTTGTCTATATGCAAGTCTGTGCACCCCATGCTTTCCTGATGTGTGTGAAGACCAGAAGAGGGCATTGGATCCCCTGGAACTGGAGTTACAGATGGTTATGAGCTGAGTGTGGGTGCTGCGAATAAAACCTGGATTGTCTAGAAGAGCAGCCATTGCTCTTAACCACTGACGCATCTCTCCAGCCCCTGAATTTAAATTTTTCAGTATAAAAGAAAGCACCTGCTTTGAGCAGATTCATATTCTCTTAGCTGGGTGTTCTACAGAAAGCCAGGTCGCCTTGTGTGTTTCCAAAGCCTTACATGCAAAACAAGGGCAATGGCAGTCCCAAATTGGCTGGTTATATTCAGTAAGAAAAGAGGAATATGTATTAAAAAGTCAGGGTAGGCACTCACCTTAGGGGAGAAGATTATAGTGCTGTTTTGATTTAAAAAAAAAAAAGGTCATGTTGGGAAACTGTTCTAAATATTTGTGTTTATGCACACAGATTAGTGTTGCTTTCAGCCTTGGCAATGAAGCTTCTTTTTGCAGTTAATTCAGCCTCATAAGTCATAAAAGAGATGAGAATATGTGACCATTGAGTGTCCATCCCTAAGTGGGAAATCTGTATCATACATGCACACACCACCACCACCAAGGCTCGGGGAATATTGCCAAAGAAGGGGCCACAGGGATGTAAGTGCCAGAGGAGGGGTAAGAGTGCTGAGAAAATCTGTCTTCTGGATGTGACAGGGAAGTTACACATGAACTCACAGAAGCTACACACGGTCCAGCCAATCGGCATCCAGGACAGATAGTGGGGAGGTTCCTGAGGCCTGTCTCTTCCAGAGGAGCTACAGCAGCCATTGATGAGTAGGAGAGGGAAAGCCGTTTCTTCAGTGGTGTAGCCACTGGTGAGTCGCCATGACCGTTAATAATCTAATATCCATGCTGATGCAAACAACCCTAATGAAGCTCGCCGAGTCTTTAAAAAAGGAAAGGAAGGGAAAGGAAGGGAAGGGA